AATATGTCACTGGCTTTTGACATCTGACAAGTCTCTGTTATTCAAATCTGTTCGCTGTGACATCTTTTTCATTATTCAGTTTTTACAATCTTGTTAATAATGGTGAACTATTCAAATGCAGAAATGGCGGAAATGCATTACGTATATGGCCTTGCCGACGGTAATAGTGAGCAAGCCAGACGGATTTATCACCAGAGATATCCCGATCGTGCTTTGCCAGATAGTCGAACCTATTCTAATATTCATCGTCGTCTTGTTGAAACTGGTTCTGCCCGAAAAGGAACATCTGAAGGTAGACCTCGTAAGTGTGAGAACACCTGAAATTGAGGAAGCAGTGCTGCACGAAGTCGAAGAACATCCTGAATCGAGTACGAGGAAGATCGCTAGACACTTAAATATTTGCCATCAAATTATTTATAGAATTTTAGTGGATTTTTTGTTATATCCTTACCATATTTTAAGAGTATAGGCATTACTTCCCATTGATTTTCCAAGGCCTGTGACCTTTTGTCAGTGGTATCTTCAAAAAATTACACAAAATCCGCAATTTGAATCAATGATTCTGTTCATGGACGAAGCTAATTTTTGTGATAGAATAAAAAACACTCCAGGGGTATTTCAACGAGTGCGCAATTCCATGAGAAGAAGGGCATGCATACTAAGTGAAGGGGGTCATTTTCAATAGTTTTTGCAATCATTTCGTTGGTTTTAATGTTGTATTTATGTTGTCAGTTGTTGTTGCTTATTACCCGTAATGTGTTTAATTTTTCCAATTAAATTAATAATTTTGCAAGTTAGACAATAGAAATGTTTTTATTTTTTTACTCAAAAATCGCGCATCAAAGGAAAGCAACTCAAGACAGATCATTTATTTTAAATTGAACGGGGAATTCAAAAATAGTTTTTATTTGCCCAAAAACCATTGGCGTACCATTTTTTTCTTGAAAAATATCGAAGTGAATACCCGTACGCACGCCACTGTTAAAACTAAAAATTATTTTTGCATTGACAAATATGCAACTTTATTAACTTCAACTATGCACTAAATATCAGTGAAATATCTGAAGCTGTTCTGAAAATATTAATTAGTTTCCACTTTTTTCTTACAACCTCAACACCCCGAGTTTTTGTAAGGAAACATTTTTGGACCATAGTTTATAAAGCAAACTATCATTAATTTTTCATGTAGATTCACACCCTTAAATATTCGCATATCATTAAGGAACACCCTGTATATATATATACAGATTCCGATAGTTAGGTCCTCCACTCATTGGCTTTTTAGAGTCGATAGGTCCTCCGTTGCTCTAGGTCCTGTATATGGAGGACCTATCGCAAATTCCACCAGTCGGCCTGAAAGGCTCCCCTTTGTCACCCGGCAAAATTCCAGAGGGATGACCCAGATCGTGTTTTTTGCTAAATTTGGGTACCGTAGTTCCGGGCTTTGCCGCGCCGATTTGGTGGACTCACAGTCGCGCGGGTATTCAGCCCGTATATTTTCAATCAAGTCTACAGTGGATAGGTCATCTGCCGGGTATTCAGTATCTAGATTGTCGCTTTTAGGTCCTCCTTAATATTGGCATCGCTGTATTAGGCATTTATTAGAATTGTTTTGCAAGAGGATTGGATTTTCATCTTCCTATGTCTGCTACGGCCCAGTTCGCCGTCAAGTATTACACACTAGCGGCCGTGAGCGGGAGTGCCGTAATGCAGCGATGGTATTTGTTCGAATGTAATGATCAAATCCAATATTCTATGGAATAAAATGAAAGATGTTATTTTTGTTTTGCGATTTAAGACAGATGATGCCTTTACTTACCGCGCCTATTGACAGGAATTATTGTAATCAAAAAAATCTGCTTTAGGTTGCTGTTATGCCATGCACAAAGAGCCTTGAATATTCTCGGAAATCGGTGAAGTGGACAACAAACGAAGAAAAAATGGTCAAACCTCGTTTCCGAATGTTTCAGACATTCCTCCAAGAAAATTTTAGGGCTGTGAATTTTGGTGGCGGGGGTTACGGGCAGCGGAGCTAGTATTAAACAACGACAAAACTAAAAATCGTTAAAATTTCTGAATATTTTAGAGCTCCCTAATCGTTTTTCGAATAATTTTTGGGGGTAGGGTGTAACGCTTCCTTTCCGCAAAAAGTCCAGAAAAGATGGAATGCAATGCAGATTCCAACTTTTCTGCACAATCACAGAAAGGGGGTTACCATTAGCTTCCGGTAGCTCAGTCGGTGGCATGAAGACATCTACAGGCGTGTAGCTGTGTGTCGACCATGGCATGGCTAGAGGATAGAAGAACAAACAGAACACAAAAATTTAACAGATTTTATTTAACAAAAAAAAAAAAAGGCATTTTCATTACATTACAATTTTACAGTTTTAAAGAACAAAATAAGTTTTACATCTTTGGCGCTGCTATAAAACTATCAACTTATCTTTCGCTGGTCCATTTTGACTCGACTGAAGCCAGGATGGCCAGGTGCTTGAAGTGGAGGTCCCAGTTGTGAGGGGTGACCTCACATATAGTGGCTTCATAACCAGTTGTAGGCGAAGTTGAACTTAAAGGCGATGGCGCTGCCAAGGCACATGCATGGGTGAAGTGATAGGCCAAGCAACGCAAAGTCAAAGACTAAGGCAAAGGGAAAGGGAAAGAGAAAGAGGGTGGCCCCAATCTGAAAAAGAACCGTGTGCATTAGCAACGTGCCCTAATGGCCAAGGCATTTCCAATCTCTGTCTGCCTCAAAAGAAAACCAACGATTTTCTAGGTTAGAATTACATTACATAGTTTGATAAAATCAAACCGAAAATTGGAAATGCCTTTCATAAAATAAAATCATGAAATAGCAAAAAAAAAAGCGTAAAACAAGATGGTGGTCATTAAAAATTTCTCCACATGCTTCTGATATAAAAACACAAATATCGAATATTCATAATCAACGTACTTATAATTTCTCTGAACTATGAATATATATACGCACACAGAGGTTAAATCGATGTGGATCGATTTCCACCTTGATTTGATTGAAGTTATGGCGAATGATCGAAGTAGTCGAAAATGACGTTCGATGGATATTTTAAAATCGTACAAGAAATAAACCACTTACATATCGATTATCTATAAACTACAGGCAGATCCAGCAATAAAACTGTATAGTATTATAAAACTCACCATTTTGTCCTATACGGACACACATTCTACAAAATTCTAGCACATGGTGCTATATGACCTTGTGCTACAGAGAAGAAAATTTTTAGCTCTTGTTCGATCGGCAGCTCAAGTGAAAAGGAAGCGCGAGGAAGATCGCAGATCAGGAACTCCGCATCAAGCGGTCCAAGCGGAAAATTTTCCAAGTAAAAAAGCTAGAGATGGGATTAATGAAATGATAATCGAGAAGTGATTTAATAAATACGATCGGACGGTGAAACCGTTACAAGGGGGCTGAGGGAATGGGGTGAATCTCGATTTGGCTAGGTGTTAGTTATTATCAATAAACCTTCAGATCGACTTCCTGAACATTAAATACCCCGCTTCAGAGGTAGTTCTTCTCGGTGATTTCAATGCCCATAATGAGCTTTGGTTGGGCTCAAACAAGACCGATGCAGCAGGTCGTGCAGTCGAAGCGTTCGCTCTTACTCAAGGGCTGACCCAGCTAGTGCCGAGCCCTACTTTTTTCTCCCGCGTCTCGTCACACGCCAGTAGCCTGCTGGATCTCTTTCTGACCACGCATCCTGTTCCTTACAGCACTGCTGTTCTGTCCCAACTGGGTAACTCAGAGCACGGTGTTGTGGAGGTTAGGTTTCGGTCACAACCCGCTGTGGCAGCAGAAACTCGTACAAGCCGCAAAACTTGGCATTACGGACATGCCGACTGGGAGGGGCTCATAGACTTCTTCTCTAACTTTCCTTGGAGAGATGTCACTGACGCGGATGCATCGGCTGTCTGTTCTTCGATAACAGAAATTATACACGTCGGAATGGAGGAATACATCCCTCACTCAGTGAAAATGCCTAAACCAGGGTCGAACGGCTGTGAACAAACTGTTTAAATTTTGTTTTTCCAGTAATCTCATCAATACTTGTTCAAAGCCGTCTAGGATCTTTCAAGTTATTATCCAATTTATTAAAGTAATGTTTTCGTTTTGTTTGCATTGCAAGCTCTATAAATTTGTATGCTCTAATATATAAGGAAAATCGTAATAGGCCATTGGGTTCTGAGGAGGAACTCACGTCCCAATGCCCACCCCCACTGAATACGCCAAATACATATTAAACTACACAAACTATTCGAGAGGTCAATTATTTAAACATACTGTCTCCAAATTTTATTATCTCACTTCGAATAATACACAATTGATTTATGAATAGCGATGTCGTAATGTGATGCACGGAATGGAATTTTCATATATGAAAGGCACCACCACTGTCGATACATCCGCTTCAAGTATTTACATACCTTTATCCACTCAATCGATAATGGTATACATGACAAGATAAATACTGTAACACGTCAATATGGTCTCAATTTTATACAATGTCTATGTTCACGGTTGAAATCGTTACATGCAATTTCTATAATATTGATTGTTCAACAGTACATTTTCTAGTGAAATGACTGCGTAGCTCCACAAAAAAATTCGTCTAAGACATTAGTACAGAAAATGCTATCAAACTACTCAGAATGACTCATTCAAATTATTCATCTTACCTCAGTAATTGCATATTTGCCTTCTTCTCCTCAGCCAAATAATATTTTGTGTAAACCATCAACATTCATTCAGTTGCTCCGCTAGTGGAAAACGATGGGAAAACCACAGGAAAACTTCAGAAACTGTGTACATAACCATAACTGATGACGGGATGATACTGATAACTCGATCATAATGGCAGCTATCATGAATACCAACATCAAACTAGGCAAAATTTATTAGCTACCAACAGTGATTAACAAACACACCAGTAAAAGTCTCAACATTGAAATTTGATGATGTCATTGTTCTGGCGACTCTCAGCGGTCGCTAGCCAAATGGAATCAAGTCACTGTTTAATACCACTAAAAGATGGAGATAAACAATAATTCAATAAAGACTAGTCACTTCATTTTTGCAGAAAACTGAAAATATACGAGGAACAAGAATTAACGATGCAAGTATTCAATGAACCAGAACAGACCATGTTGAATAGAAGGGACAGCGACGATTACATTCCCGTAAGTATATATAATAGTGTAGTATGTACATAACGCACGTACAATTATATAAGGACAACAATGTGAATATCACGTAAATGGCACAGCGGAATGGGTTTTACTTCTGATATTAATAGTAAAAGATTATTCATCTATTAATGTTTATGCAAAATTGTTCAACTGAAGCTTGTGATTATTTTTATCAGTACCGCACACAATCCTTCGTTATTTGTAGGTTTATTCCTTACTTTATTTGAGTTTCATACGTAAATATGCACGTTACTCGTATAATTTCCAGGGCGACAATACTTATGCAACAATACAGCATCCCCACAGGCGAGGTTCCTCGCATATGGCAACAATTTCATTAGCAGGAGACCTGGCAGATTATGCCACTTTGTCAGGCGTGCCTCATCACCAGAGTAGGAGCAACAGCAGCTCTCTAAGAGGAGCGCCAAATGTAAGTATTACCAGTAAAAACATTAAACAATTATAGTAGCAACACATTCTAATTTCGGTAATTGCTATAGAAAATATAATTGTTGAAGATATTGGTTGCTTTTTGTCTCTGTGATCAACCAGGTACTACACCTCAGTTTGCTTTCCGTTATTTATCTCCAAGACGTATACTTCTGATTATTGTCAATAAAAGCATGAAACAACAAACACCAATGACGGAAAGCAAATACCTTAAGCCATGTGATCAATTTGTTGTACAAATTTGCAGAGCAAAACACAGGAGATGGCTTGTAACTTTATTCCAAAAATATCTTTACACTATTGCATCATATCTAGGAAGAATTTTAAAAAGTAAGAGTGTCTATAATCTACGAACGAAGACTCGGAGGTATGATGTTAAACTCTCAGAGTGGTAGTGATGCCAAAAAGTGTCGATGACGAAGATTATGTTATCTCATAAGAATACTACTCAGGCAATGAATTTCAGATTCTGCGCATATGGCATCTCTCTCTCTGTTGCTGTTATCATGATTGTAAACCACGAAGTAGACTCCCTACGCCATTTACTACGTGTACTAGATTTCCGAGAGCCACGTCCACGCACGTGTATCACTCACGCAGGATCTTCGTGAATCTACAAAAAAGGCACTGTTGATAACGCAAGATAATTGGTGTCATAGTTTAATGACGAGTAGTCAGTGATGTGACAATAGCTTTTCTGGTTCGGGCAACTCTAAGTCAGCCAGTCAGGCTACACAGGACTTTTATAGGTATTCTCGACGTAAGGTTCTGAATGTATCAGATTTGGCACACTCGCGTAGCAGTAGTAACTTTCTTGTAACAAATATTTATTGATACATCCTATGTTATATAATTTTGGAAGTCAACGTGATGAGGGAATAGGTATTAGTTTCCCGTCCACCTAAATTAGAGGGAAAACAATACTAAGGTTGGAAAAACTAATTCTTAGACATTTTTCAGAAAATGTAATGTTTTCAAGTTTTACTTAAAATTTCTCAAAACTACAACTTTTAAGATCCTACATAATACTTAAAATGAGTAGATCCTGTTTTGCTGTTTTCTGAGTCAAATCAGTTTCATTAGTTCGAAAATCAAGAAAGCGATGCATTGGAAAGGTGTCTTGCATATTTTATGTGTTTCTTGAAAATACTTTGTATGTATAAAATATATCAAAAAAGGTGTATCTAAAACATTGCTTCTTTAACAATGTATCGGCTTCAGGACAGGTAAAAACTCGATAATCTCCCTTTTTGTTCGAGTATTATTTTTGAATACTGATCAAACGAATAATGTCCTCGGGAATGTGTAGAGCTGTTCTTCTTCTTTTGATTGAATAATTTTGAGCTATGGTGTATGTGTAGTATTTAAAGGTTTGAATGCTCTTTGCTCTTGTCAAAATAATGGCGTCAGGTAGGTTCCCTATACAATTCCCATGCAACGCCATCAGTTCATAAACGATTAGGTTCAGCACAAGTTAGGCCCTATCGAAATAAGACAGCGCCATAGAACTTATATTCTGGATAGAGGATAGTTAACATTCTTTTGTTCGTTGTCCTAGAGGCCAAACCTAGGCCATGCTGATGAATTGCCAAAAAAGCACCAATCAGCTTTCTGTCGTTGACTGTCTCGGGTTGGATGGACCAAAGCAGCATGTTCAAGTTAGAAAATTAGTTACGAACTGTAGGCGTGAAATGTAACAGTATCAAAACTTTCAATTAAGACTGAAATTGAGAAAAATATTTCCAGTCAACCGTTGAGTTGAAGGAGTGGATAATAATTTGATGATCTGCAGTACAAGCCAAAAATCTGAAACATCGGATTTTCGAAACGTAAATAAGACGATTTGAGGGATAAATTTCTTATTGGCGCGAACAAAATACTCAAAAACAGAAAAAAGCATGTGTTTTTGATAATATTGTTGTGATAAATAATATGTTCTGGAAAAATAGAACAGTAATTTTTTTCAAATGCGACCATATGTCAATCTCTGAATTTTTGCTACTATCGAAATTAATGTACATATTGTTGATATTTTTAGTACTACGAGGCAGCCATGGGCTTCCAAGGATCCACCTTCCAAGTGCCGGACCGTCGATTGAGCGGTTCTAACGAGTACGACCCATACAGCGGTGGCGGTAGCACCGGAACTGCCGGTGCTAGATTCAAGGGTTCAGAACTCACTATTAATCCCGAGGGACATCCCGAATATATCGCTGAACTTATTTAGAGATAAACAATAATTTATTTACATTATAGAGAAGAGAGAATAGTAAATAATTGAGAAGTATAAAAGGTGCCCCAGAATAACATGCCAATCTTTCGTATGCATATGGAATACAAAAATATGCCACAAGTGATTTAAGAAAATGTGCTACGCGGCTCGCTTATAGAGTTATAATCCCATCAAGGACGTTCCTAGAAATAGAATGACAGTCTAGAATCCAACCTAATTTTACAACTTGAAGGCCGCCTGTCACAATACAAACTGTTGTTCATACTTTGGTATCAAATTTCGTGAAAAAATTCGTTCCCAATTTGTTTACAAACTACAATCCTGTCTCTGACACGTAATGAAATTTTTGTACTAACTTTCGTATGAAATCATGCGCAGTTGATAGAAAAAAGTTATAACTGTCAACTTCTAACTGCCATTTATCACGTCAAAGTCAATCTAACCACAATTTACTTTGCGGCTTGCTATAGCCTTTTTCGCGAGTATCCATTACGGTAGAATGACAGCTGATTATCTAGTAATATTTCAAAATTCCCCATATCGGCAAAGGACACATAATTCTGACGGATCCGTCAATGCCAGGTAGACAGAACCATATTTTGTTTTGTTTTTTGTACGCTGCAGATTCATTTTACACTTGCTAAAAGCTCTTTTATTTATAAAAATCCATTTGCATACAAAAACAAAACGCTACAAACAATTTTTACTAGTTTTATACCCGATTATTGCAAACGTTGCAGACTAACATGAAAATATCACTTGCTGATCAGCTGTTCACCTCAGTAATGTAAAAGAGTGATGGATACTCATGAAATAGGGTATTCTTTATTCCTTTATTGCTTTAAACGAATAGAAAATTGTGAAAAATGACTAATCTGCGACTGTGGCAGCAGCGATTTGCGTTGTAACTGCCCACCTCATGAGAAAACGAAGTAAACGAAACCGTAAAAGAATTTGATGCCGAAAATGGATCAGGGAGAGGGACCAGAGCATGGGTGTGCTCCATATGCTGAATAAAGAACTTCTAGTGGAGGATCCATTGGCTTATAAGTCTAGTTGGTTTTGAAATAATTCTGATTTAAGTAGTAGATCATGACATCTTTTAAGTTTTCAATCTGTAAGAGCTGCTTTCAAATGGTTTTTTGTTTGAGAGTGATATGCTCCCGAACAGTTCTAGACACAATGCATGGAAATACCATATGCAGTGGAACGGTGTTGGTGCTGAGCTCTACTGAGTTACTCCGAGTTGCTCTGAGTAACTCAACTGGGTCACTGGAAAGCAGCTAAATAGAACAGCATAAGCAAGCGGATTTCGCAAAACTGGTCAACACACCTGATAACATCAACTAATAAAAGTGTTAGGCGTGTTTTGTCAACCAATAATCATCTAATCTAATCATCACAAAACATCAAGGATTTAACACAAAACATGTAATTCCGAAGCGCTTCTATCAGACACTGTATCTACTGCTCCAAATGTGTAGTAGTCTTCTGCGCACTTTTAGTATGATATTATTTAGAACAGGTTCTCAAAACTTTAGCACTACATTTATTCATACAAAATTATGAACTAAATACTGTCTGACACTATCCTTAATTTTGTACGAAATTTAGCGCACTAAATTTAGCACAAAATTTCGTATCGTGACAGACGGCCTTTATAAATGGTTGCTACATCATCGGACAGTGTCTTGGAACACAACTCATTTGGGCCTTCAGGGACAGAATAATCCCAAGGTAATATTGCTCAATGATAACATCTAGACTGCAAAATCTGTAAAAATGTGTTTGACATCGATAAAATGGATGGTTTTTAAGAAAGAACCCTCTTGTTTCAGTTTATTTCTATTATTTATGGCACCGGATCCAGTATACTGATTACGTCATATATAATAAGCCACCAAAAAAAAAACAACAAAATATAACCTTTCAGACTACTTGTTTGGGAAGTAGCTGCAGTGTAAATCGATAGGACCAGAGCAGAAACAAGACTATTTGTCTCAAAAATGACTCATTTAATCATAATCAAACAAGACATTTTTTAGCCATTAGGCTTTCCAAAAGGATATACAGGGTGTAAAAAATGTCAGTGACGCTTTAAGTTTAGTCCGTTCCTGTTATTCTAAATGATATAGTTGCTTTCCACGGATACCATCAAGTTAGGCTGGTTATTTAGCTGTCAAAATTTCATTGAGTTGTATAGTGCCATTCAAAAGTCATTTGAGAAAAACCGACTTCCAATAGCATCCTCAGGGGCCTGTATCTATATAGGACTACCCCGTAGGACATTATTTATAGAAATTTGAATTATCTTCTTGTACACGAGAAATTGACATATTATTTGGGACACCCTGTGTAGTATCATATAATCAGACGGCAAGGTCGAATGTTTTGCGAATTAGGTCATTCCAATGATTCCATTTATAGAAGGTGCTCCGTTATAAATTTTCCATCAAAGCAATAAATAATATTTTTATTGAACCAAATAAACTTCATTGAAATGCCGCTCGTTAACGAAGTACAGCTTTTTCTATGGCTCAAGCTGTGTTCGACATATAAACATGAAATTGGGATAATCTGGCATTCTCATGAAATATCGAGATTATAGGCTAAATATAGTACGTTCTAGATACTGTATAATAAAGTATAATCATGTCATTGCCACAAAAATATCTTGAGCTATAGAGAAATAATGACTTCGAGAAATAAAAGTCGACACCTATCTCATAACGAGTGACATTTTACTAAAAGTCATTTACTTGGTTCAATATAATTTATTATTATTGCAAGCTTTATCCGTTAATGCTTTTTGCACATATTAGTGCGGACCACTATCTATGGCAGTACAAGTTAAGCAGTCATAGCACTGACGACGGTAACTCTCACAAATTACCCAGCAAAGCTTGGGTAGCGCCTAAAGAAGCGTCCGGCACAACTTAACTAACTTCAGTATTCGGAAATCTCTAGTCTTGTTGGGGCACCAATATCGCATATTTTATTTATTAACATATCCATCGATATGTAAATGTACTTCGTCACTGGATAACATGTTTCCAAGCATGTGTGCTGTCCGGCATTGTTCTTGCGAAGTTTTCTCACAAAGGATAGTCACTTTCGTTGAGACCCCGAACAATTTGCAATTTCTATGGGTGGAGCTATAATTTCTTTTTCAAATAACATGCAATGTTCAATTTTATTGCTATTGAGCCCTCAATATTCCTTATTGATTTACTTGGATTTCCAATAATTTTATCTCGAACTTGAGACATATGTTCTGTTGCTGACGTTGATGGTCCGGGGGAGTTCTGTTGACCACTGACCCTTCTTGCCTGCACATTTTTACCCATGGCCAGATAAGTTACGTGGTCGGTCCATCAATTCAATGATTCACCTCACTTGAGATATTTCTCGACCTCAATGCGAATGCGGTCTTCCTCACCTATGGCTCATGGCGACTAACAATTCCGCGAATCCTGCGCTTCGAATGATACCTCTCCCACCTAAATGATACTTTGACTGGATATTGCAGTGTTTTGAACGATATTGGCAAGTCGATTTCGATATCATGAGTATTTGCGGGATATAAGCACGGTGTCCCACTGCTAACCCCGTGAAGATGGTCGCCACGATTATATTGTCCCGCATCCTTTTTATCAGTAGCTTTGTGCCATTTCACAGGTTGGGAGGGATCAAGTTTCTTAACAGCTCTCTGTTATAAGTAAGGTGATCGAGAGGTGCATAAATCGCGAGCTTCTGGACTACCTCGAACGTCAATTCTTGATTAGCGACAGACAGTATGGTTTCCGGCACCAGCGATCCATAGGGAACCTCCTAGCTTACGTCACGCTATTGTGTAGTAAACTCATCCAGTCTTATGTTGAGGCTCATGACGTTTCTCTTGATATCACCAAAGCGTTCGATCAGCTGTGGCACACTGCCCTCTTGTGCCTCCCAGAAAAGCATTGCAGATGGGTGGCGACTTTCTCTCTGGCCGCAAGATATCCGTCGTAATTGACTGGTTCTTTTCTTCCTCCCAGAACGTCAATGCGGGTGTTCCCCAGGGATCGGTGTTATACATAACGACCTACTTTCGTGCACGATCCACCCAATCCACAGCTTCGCTGTTGACAGTGCTCTACATGCAGTAATTCAGAGTGACAAGCCGATCTCTGCCGCTGAGCAGGAAAAAAGACGACTAGCAACGACTTCATCTCTAACAAGAGACCTGGAGGTTATCACTGCTTGTAGACGCAACAATCTTTTACAGTTTAATGTTTCCAAAAAAACAGTACTGTACTTTGACGAACAAAAAGCGTCCTAGCGCTCAACTGGTTTCGATGGATAACCGAGTTCTACCAAAGAGCCGTTCATTTCGGCTGGTCGAAGTTCAGATCACCGAGGACTTGATCTGGCACGAACACATCTCGTCACTAGCGACAGCTGCTGGAAAAAAGTTAGGCTATTGGCTTAGGGCTAAGAAGTACTTTTCTCCGCATTCTATACAAGGCTGAGATAAGGCCAACCTCGAGTATTGCTCACACATTTGAGGTGCTGCCGCCCCAGCTACATTATGTATGCTCGATGTTGCCCAGAGGAGCGATGTCCGATGACTCTGCTCTAACAGACGGTCTCGGAACACTTTCGCACCGGCGGCAGCGGGCCGTCAGCGATCTATCTCTCTTCTACCGCTACACCAACTGACTTTGCTCCTTCTGAGGAGGCGGCATCATGGAAGAGAGCTCTGGCTCTCTTCCATGATGCCGCCGCGCGATGTGTCCATCAGATAGACCGGCCTGACTTTGGCTTCCGATCCTAACCGTGTCGAACTTCGTACGTCCAGAACTGGCCGATACGACCGTTCCTTTGTCCCAAGGGTGTCGAGATTGTGAAACAATCTACAAAAGGGAGCTTCTGCCAGTTCTATTAACCTTAGGCAGTTCAAAAATTTGAATAACAAAATTTCTTTGGGATCCTCTTAGCAGCCGCGGGGACCCGGCATTTAGGCTTCTCCCTTCGCGGCTGCTTCGGTATAAAAAACAGCATGATAGGAATGTCGAATTTTAACATAAGGTTTTGAAGTGATCAAAAGGGCTCAAAGAATTTTAAAAGTCCTGAAGATGGTGCACTATATCTTCAATATTACACACCGTATCAACCGACTTATACTGTTTGACCAGGAATTTTCTGTAAAATCAGTTTATTTATTTCGTTTCTCGATGGAACTATTACTTAATTGAAATGAGAAAGCAATCGAGAACAATGCAGCAAATAGCGAAATATTTACAGATTCTGCCGTTTCGATGCTATATTAATTTATAGGTGAGTGACCGTGATTGCCCTTAGTAAATATTGTTATTTGACGTCAACATACGTAGCATATTATTAATCACAAGTAAATTTAGCCTGTGACACGTGCGAATAATGTAACTTCCCTCTGGTGAAAGAATTTTCAAACATTACTTCCTACAAACGACCTTACCAGCTTTACGTCTGTATAATATTTGACTGCTAGTCTGATCAAGTCACGAAATGCTAAACTGCTCTGCACCCAAACAAGAAGTCAAATGAGTTGTGCAATAACAAAAACCAACCATCACACTCCTTCAAAGTATTGAATATAATACACCAAATATCTCAATCGATTGACTAGTCCCAAAACGACAATATAAACATAGATAACTTTAAACATGCAGTGCAGTTATGTTGCAGTATATTTTGTGGTTTTAGTTTATCCCCTTTTTTAAGCCTGCACTGTTCATGTTTCGTTACGTGCAACAGAGCTTGTATTAAGCATGCGCTATGAGTATGGAGCTTTGCAAACTATCAGAAGGCTAAATCTTACAGCTCCATCACTATTCTTAGCAAAAGTATGATAGCTCTATGACACAATTCTGTAATCACAGTAATATATATGTCTTATTCAAACAAATAATTGAGCAAAAAACACACTATGCATAAAGTACAACATTAAACAAAATTTAATTTCAAATGACGGCTGCGAAGCGAAGAGGATAAGAAATAATTTGATTTTCAGTTTTAATTGTACTATGATATAACTGCATTTTATCTGTGTAGTTGCTGGAACAAACATTTACTACAAAGTATCAGGTATACTCGTATTTATTCATAGGTGATCAAAGACGTATTACCCTAGAAAGGCCATAGATTTGATTTTAACTCGTGTGTAACCTGAAATTTTAACATAGTTTTAGGTATGGGTAGGTAGTATGGTATAAATATAAACTGTAATTCTGTTTCTATCTTTTTCGGAAGTTGCAGAGGAACTCTGGTATTTTCTTTGTTTACTCGTACATATAACCCTTGCCAAATTGAACATACAATGACAATATTTGCCAAACTGTCGCAAAATAGTTTTTAGATTTTATCGAACTGTTACGGTTGGCATTGAACTTGGCTCTGGATAATGTATCCGTAAATACTTGCTGGGACAAACAAAATTATACAGCCAGATGACGTAAATAGTGTTCCGGTGTGCAAGGAGTTGAATAATCAAACCCAGCTATAGTGTGCCTTTGATAAGTAATGACTGACCTCTTTGACCCCCCAACCACTGTGTTCGGTGCTCAGATTTGTGTTAGGGAATCTAAGCTAATAATAAAGTTTGTCGTCAGTCGCAATGAAGTAGTACATTACATATACCTTGGTGCAGACGTATGCCACTATTGGCATATCGCTTTTATATCCTAAGATGCTTAGTGCCGAGGGATATAATGTTCAAGAACAATAATTTCGTTTTCTACCGAGGTATGAACCTAATTTTTGTCACTACTATAATATATTATCACATTTAATTTGATTGGAATGTGAAATATAGCAGATCTGCGAATTTCCTAAATGTCCAGCAACACTGTACGGAATAAATCAATCCGACTTTCAACCTGTCAAAATAATGGAATAAGTAAATTCTATCAGCAACTGTAATTGCAGTTACAAAAATGGAATCTGTATCTGTTTATTGTAAACAATAATTATCAGTAACAGTAGTGACAATTATATCCCTAACAAGCCAAAAAAGATCTAAATAAATGCATACGTTCATTATTTACCTAGGGTTCTTTCATGATTATTATTTACCTCGGGGGAGAAATGTACCACTCTTTATAGCAATACGGTAAATGATGGCGGTTTCTCAGGGTAGTAGTGATTAAAAGTCGTTTGCCAACTCGTGACACTTGCAAATACACCGAAGATGGACCGCTCTTTAAGCAGAGAAAACCAATCAAATTTTGTTTTTGGTCGAGCAAAAAGTGACGCCCTATCAAGAAGTCATGTGTTACGGTGGTCAAAAATATACATGACACTGTTCCGGACCTGAAAACATATATCCCACGGCATCAGACAGTACTATAAACCTAAAAATAGGTACTGGGGTCGTCGTGATATCTGTATTTAAACATTAAAAAATTGTTCACGAAATTTGTCTCTCGATTCAGAAAGAGATAAATAAGTGAATTGGCACGTCGGTAAAAAGGTGGTGTGGTGCTTTGTTGAGCAAATATATGTTTGAAACAGATGAATGTCATCAAAAACGTGTTACCCAGAGATGGCATACCGATGGGTAAGGGGGGAACCTGGGGGTTGGGTATAGTCCGTTTAAGGTAAAGTTGGCTTATTATTGTTGGTAAACATTGAAAAAATAATTCTCTGATTTCTTTACCTAAAAATAATTTAGGACAAAAATCACCCTCCATTCGATCTCGAGCTGGAAAACAACTTTTATACAAAGCTCCACCCTCGCTACGACAGACCTTTAATGCGACTGCTGCCTAGTTCTATTGTTAGCTTAGATCTCATAACATAATTCTAAAAAGCAACGGCTGGGTTGCAAGCGACTGAAGCGCCACACAACGACCAGGCTAGTTACTCATTAAACGTACCCTGTACTATCTGAACTTCCCAATATGGATTGATGTTTATAGAATGGTTAATGTAAATGACAAACTGACAAACCAACTGAGCGTTACAAATATCAGTTATGTTCTGTTTTGAAACAAATTAAAATACCCAAAACTTTATTTGCCTTAGCACCCATTTATGTACGCTACTCGAATCGATAGATAGTTTCCCTCTTTGATTCTATTGTCGAACATTGTTGGGTGACAATGTTCCACGAATCAAGTCGTGTGCATTAATGAGTGCTTAGAAGTCTCAGATAGTTCGAACTTTCGTAGCATTTTTTAAGTTTATGCGAGTTGTGCTAGGAAATAAAATTTAACAAACCTTTTATACTGACTTTTTTCAGCTTGCCAGTTAAATAGCACTCTGGTCATTCTAGTTAGCCAATATGAAAATACAGAGAAGTGTAAAGGAACATAGTGTCTTTTGAACAAAATTTGGTTTATAACATCATGCGGATGCATTACCTGTTGCCGTGTAGATTTTATTGTGATCTTTACTTCTAATTTAAAATGTCTTTTACAATTTACGATACTGTTTTAGCTTTATATAGGCATTCTTGTATTTAGACCTGAGTTATACCCGTTTATTGTTATGTATTTTTAGAAGATATCCATTAATTTTGGGATATTTGACATTTACTTCATTAATATGTAAATATACACAAGACAATAGATATCAGTATTATTACTTATAACTTTTGTCAAATGAATGTGTAATTTCATGTAGGAATATATTAAATAATGTTCAAGTGTTATGTGCCTACTGCAAAAAGAAGCTAAGATAGAGCTGAGCCCTATCAAGTGGGCATATAGATTGTGTTATCTTCATAATATATATTTTTTTTGGCCTGGTTGCAATTACTTGAATCGATAAAAGGTTTTTTTGCAGTATTATAACTTTAATGCAAAATTTAAGTACATCATTAGTAAAATAATTTGATATATTAAAATTTTTATAAAAATGTTTTTTCTACATATACTTTCGGAACTTGAGTTTTAATCAGTTTGCAAGTAATGAGAGTACCTACTCATTGTTTTCATTTAAAAATATCTTGCCAAATTGTGTACGAGTTTCTTCATCAATTTCACACCCCAAATGAGCTTTAAGTTTAGGTATGATAATTTATTTTTATACTTCATTATATAATTGAATGCCCCTGAGATAATGTCATACATGTTTAAACAATTGCCATATCATAAGTAAATGTATTTAGTGATTTAAGTTTTATGTTTCAAATAGGAATCAAATTGTATACATTTTGTATATAAAAACAAAATAAATATCTTTACCTATTTACGATTTTCCTTAGAGCATTAATAATGAATAACATTTAGCTTCCGATGTATAAAAATACATCTTTAACAGTACATCCAACGTTCGTAAGAAATAAAACTTGATAATATCTATTACTACATATACGAATGGACAAAAATAGTTGATAAAAAATTGTAAATAATTGATTTGTAGATCTTAGATTTTATGTAATAGATATAAAAAAATCTCCATCGTCAATTCTTGATGTCAATAAAGAAAAATGAGAGACAGTAACAAATCATGAGATCAGACCAAGTCCTGCAGTAATTCATAGGCGTAAAATTTCTTTATTGAAAATATGGTATTATTTTACATCATATTTTTTGTATTTTTTTTTTGTTTATGCTAACTTACTACATAATATCAAATACAATTATATCTGCTATAGTTTTTACAAAATATGTAGTTAACTTCACAAATACCTAGGATTAGTAACAATGAAATTGTGAATACCCTGTGAATACTTGCCCTCAGTCACCTACCTGATTATGGTTTTGAAGCATGGGTAGCATTTCATTTATATGGGTATTTACCAGGTACCTACCCTAATGATTTATGTAGGTACTAAATACCTGTAATTTTATTTGGATTAGGTATAGGTGCATCTTATACAGTTGGAATATCCTAAGATTATGCCCCCTACCTCATAACTTTATACCCTCTCTCTTGCGTTTATTGTACCCTATAAGAATATAGGAAATTGTTGCGACAGTCTAACCGGAGATGTATGGACATCTGTTAACGCCCTCTTAATGTGGTCCAGTTCTAAGCCTGGCGTATATTTATAACGTAGAAAGCTTAAAAATGTATGTGGTCTTCAATGTCCAGAAATTCTGTTGCTGTTGAGGCTGATAAGGGACTTCCCACTCCCTCTAAACCCTAGGAAGAAGGTATTTTAGTATTTAAATACGCAAGTTTTAGTTGGGATTGTTGACTTTTGTTCGATTCATTATAACCATAGCATATTTTGTATTTGATTGTGGGGAAATGTTTAAATATATCTCTCTATTACAGGCAAAGTGTATGGCATTAAGAAATACTTATAATCTGCAAGCTACTTACCAAGGGAGAGATTTAGCAAGGGGGGATTATTCAAATCTATTTGATCCTTTAGCAAATGGCGTGTATTTTTGAGCATATTAATTCCTAAGGATTCCAGGTTTTACACTTTTAATTTGTGTATGTAGGATTTCAAATTTGTCGTTAACCCTATGGTTTCATTCATTTAGATGTATTAGTTTGTTTCACAGGTATATATAGACAACCTCACAATTTCTTAAACCAAATTAGTACTCTTGTTCAACTTTAAATTATTATTAGTTTTAATCGAGTGAACTAAACAATGTCCGCGAAAGAGGTTGGTATGAAAGGAAAGACAATTGGGAGTCAAGGACAGGAAATTATTAACAATGTCACTAACTTCATGATACAGGAAAGTGTAGAGGTATTAAAGTTTCCACATTAACAATACCCGTATGTATGAATGTCAAATATTTTTATAATTATTGTCAATTAAAACTAGTTGACCCATTTAGAAAACGTGTTAGCTGCCAGGGGTATAAGTAAATGCACTTATCAAAAAATAGCTAAATAGATCAGAAAAGGATTATATTCAAGTAAATTTTCATTTTCATCTCCATCTAAAAAGCGGCAAAGAAAATCACCTGTTATGGATAAAATGAAGAAATTGAAGAAATAAAGCAATCATATATGATTTTTATATTTTGGGAAAAAGCAAACCTACGCTAAAAAGTTTTCAAATTGTAACCGTAGCATCTAGTCATATTTCATTTTAAGCGGTTTTTTCAGAAAGTTTTACGGCTGCCTCCGTATCATCCGGAACTAAGCCCAATCGAGAAAATTTGGGCTCTCGTAAAAAATTGGGTCGCTTCACGAAATGTGACATTTAGGTGTCTGATGTAAAGCATCTAACCCGTAGCAGATTTGAGGAAATTGGAGTAGACGAGTGGAAGAAAATTTGTAACCACGTCAAAAATTACGAGAGCACACAAATTGAAAAAGAACATCTCGACGCCAGAATGAATGAGTCTCGGTTATCTGTAAACACAGGCTCATCATCAGAGGATAGTGAAGAAAGCGACTCAGGTGAAGATTTGCAGATACACACTATCATCTGATAGCGATTAGATGTTTTAATAATAATATATAATTTGAATTATAACCGTCTTTAATTTGCTCCCTCTTCTAATTCAAATCAGCATCAGAACAACTAATTACGCATATTAAATAGAATAATATAAGAATCAAAGATTCCAATGTCTATAGAACCTATTTATTATACTTTATGCTTCAAATAAAGCGGAACACCACTGCGCTCTGTCGACGGCCGATTGCTGAGGAGACCCGCCCACTATGACGTCGCGAGCATATTCTAAGGATATTCGAACTCTACCTGTGACTTCAAGATAAATTCATAGTTGTTTCAGGAGCCTTTAAATTGTGGCAGTAATGCAGTAAGTGAATTTTCAAAAGGCAAGCACTACAGTTTTTATCCGTACTCAGACATGACTACCCTATACTAGAAGTACAAACATATTGACGAAACTATGGAGTAATGTTCAAATATGACGGAGATTGGAAAATCTACTATATATAGGCTGCTCCGTGAAAGAAAATAAATTGAAGTAATACCACCCCAATCATCACCCTAGAGAACAAAGAGAACTATAAACAAATCGGGCAATCAGAAGATTTGCGCACGTTCTACTTCAACAAAGATTTACCCACATTAGATAAACTCTTAGAGTCTCTTAAAAGTGATGAAGATTTACCAACTATTATTAGTACAAAAATGCTGCCGAAATTTTTTTTTGGGAGAAGCAAAATAGAAAATTTATTTTGACAGAAAGTGATGATACTGTTTGTTGGAGGAGAAATTATCTAAGAAGCATACGACAATATCGCGTGGATCAATAATCTATTTGGATGAAACGTGGCTAAATGAACGTTACACTGTAATTAAAATGTGGCAAGACAAAAATATCAAAGGTCTTCGGCAACATGTATTATTGACAATAAAGAAGGTTTTCCAGAACAAGGCTTATTAACATTCAAATCTAATCGCACCGGTAACTATCGTGAATACATGACTGCTGATGTTTTTGAAGAATATTTCGAACAAATGTTAAAGTTCATTCTATAGACAAAATTCCTGCAATTTAGTTATTTAACATTTCTGTACGCTCGTTTTGGCGTTCGGGAGCGGCTAGGTGCACGTAAATATGCGCGAAATTCTTGATTTAATTATTTTGTAGTTTTATCAGGAAATCTATAAGAAAGCTTTAAAAAGAATTGCCTATATACACCGACTATACAATATTTCGAGTAAGCTGACTTTTTCTTTTTGCTCAGGAGTGTAAACACCCCCTAGCTTCCTCCGCAGCACAGCCTATTGCCGTTGCTCGCAATGACCTTCCAGCTGGTGGAGTCAGACCCCTTTGGGTTCCTCCTTCCTCGCCAGTAGCCTCCACGCGCTGGGAAAGGTTGCAAATAAACAGTGAAACAATATAGTCATAATGGATTGGGACAATATACAAATTGTCATGTAACCAATATTGCCAATAATAAAGGTCATATTGGTTTGATATTGTTAATCAAGTTTGTACCAATGTATTCAAATGTCCACATTTGTTTTTGTACCAATATTGGAAAATTGTCTTGGACCATTGTATTTGTAATATTGATCCTATATTGGGACAATATACGTGTGCTACTTGCTTTGGTTTGTAGTAGTGATCTTATATTGGGACAACATACATGTGCTACTTGGGGTAAACATAATATAAGAGGTCAATCATCATTCAATATTTTCCCAATTTAAGTAACATTGAACCTTAAGTATCCCTGATATCACAAAATGCTGTCGATTTCTTATCTTGAACATTTTTACTGACCCACTTCTGACTTTCGTTCCATTATGATTTTTTTATTTCTTATACATAGCCCTAGGTTCGTTATTTTTATAGAATTGTCTCCACTGTACCCATTCTCTCATTTTATCTTTATATTTTACCTTTGAAAACTTTATCATTTCACTAACATGGATGGATATCAAAGATATGTGATGGGTGCTACAAAGAAATCGATCGATATTTTAGCAACGGACTTCGGGATCATTATCTGGAACATATTTTGTTATTACTCGGATAGCAAGGAGGAAATAACCAAAACCCATATGCTAGGAATATTAAGTGGGTAGTTTTTCTAGTTGATATTCGAAACAATAATCCCTGTTAAAGTAGCCCGGTGCTTATATGGGTATTAAGGATCACTAATGCCGAAATATGGAAGGTCGCAGAAGTTACTACCATGAATCCAAAGCCTAGAAAGGCACCGAATGAAGTAAAACCATATAGACCCATATACGCATTCTCGTACGTCGAGGTAATTACATCATACAAGGTGATTCAGAAGTCGTGAGAAAAAATGAAACATCATACACAGGATCGCATTTTAAGGGGGGTCTTCTATGTAAAATTTTTCCCTCGAGGGATTCCTTAAAAAGATTCGTGGTGTTGCAGTTAAAAAATTAAAAACATTTTTTTTAATATCTTCAAAACCGTCAACTGGAATGAACTAAAATTTTCTTCACTTAAAATTAACGTGCACCAGTGGCGGAGATACAGAGGATTAGTGGCACTATTTTTCCAAATAAAAATAGTACGCCACTGGTTTTTTTAACCCGCAATTTTTAGAATTGTACCTTCAATTTGCTACAAATAATTACTCTTGTGGTTTTTCCTAGAGTGGACTGTTTTCGTAAAAATAAAAATAAAACAAATTAGATCATTCATGAAGAGTCAAGATACAATGGGGTATTTTCCAAAAAAAGTTTTTTGGTTCCAAATTGAAGTTTTACATCTAAAAATTATATATTGAGTAATTTTACATTTTTCTTTGAACAAGAAGTAACAAAAACTCGGCTTCAAAGTTTAAAAATAAAAATTGCCGCCAACTG